GCAATAGAAAAAGGCAAAATCAAAATCAGGTAAATATAGTCAACTTTTAATCCAAATACCAAAGGAAATTCAGCCAGAAAAATTGTGATTTTAACCAAGGCTACCTAGCTAACTATGATTCTATGTGTACAGAAATTTAATAAATACAGACTTCACAACTCCCACAAAATTAACTCAAAGTGACCCTTAAACTGTTATGCTTCTGACTCTCTAGCTACTGATAGTTCTTCGAGAAAGGCTCCTCGCTCTAGAATTCACTTTGCAAACGAACGTGATCTCCTCTAGAACTTATTATGGCTCTATAGTACCTCCTGTTCCTTTGTGGTTTCAGGCAAACTGAGCCGTAGTGAAGTTCAATCAAAATGTAATGTAGAAGAATAATTTTATGTATGCTTCCTGCCATATGGATTATGGCACAAGATGTGACATTGCCCAACACCATGCAAACCTGAGATATCTCTGCAGCCCAGAAATTCCTTTTATCCCCTTGAACTGGATTTCACTAATCCACACTATGGTGGCTGACAGTAGCAGACAGTTAACAGCATTCTAAACATGTATCGCTGAAGAATGATGCCCATTATCTCCTTTCTACCATTTTCTAAACTCTTTGTAACATTTATAAGACAAACCTGCACATGGAATGCAACATTCAGAATTTCTAGAAACCAGGCCTTCAGCTTTCCAATCTGTCTTTCCACTGTACACCAAAAGTAATGCCTGTGTGTGTACAAGTGATATTACAAGCATCATAGCCTCCCATACCAGGGTGGTTGGAGCCTTTTCCTCCCCAGGGAATCCACACTCAGTGAGTCACAGAGACTAAGGGACACTACCCAGGTCAACACAGGGACCAACAGAACCAATATGGTTCATGATCCTTCCCAGTTCCAACCTGTACACTCACCATGGCATAGCTTGTGGTCTTTACAGCTTCCTATAGCCGAATCAGAGGCAAATTCAAGAAAGAACCTGTAAGCTACTTCTCATAGGTACTCCTTACTGCTAAACCTCCTCAGGGTCCCTCATAAGCTAGAACCACCTAGTTGGGCCTCCCAAAATTGGCAGTTACACTATTGGGTAAACTGTTATTAAATGACTCAGACAGCCCAGGCCTTCCCAGTTCACTCCTTCCACCCTAGGGTCAGACAGGGCCCTAGTCTGGGAAATTGTAGTTTAGTAGAATCTTCCATTTTCCCCGAGCACATTCTGTTGCTCTTACAAGGCACAGGGTTCATTGTGCACACTCCATTACACAATCAATGTCCAGTGTAGTCAAACACAGGTCACATTCAAACAGCTACTGTTGTGAAAGCAAAAGGAGGTCACGGATTAGAAAACAATGAAGGGCCTAAGGGAGGACTTAGACAGAGGAAAGAGGCAGTGAAAATGATGTAATTAGAATTCCCAAATGTTATATTAAAAAGTTGAAACAAACTTTATGGCCATGTGCTCCAGAGACTGTGAATAGGCATTAGAGCTCACCAGGTCCTACTCCAGCCATTTCTCCCAGGCTGCACATCTTAAACTTGGAAAACATATTCATATTAGGCAGGGCCACACAATTTTATTCAGTTCTTCTATTTTGGAAGAACTAGTGTAACTACAGTAATTTGGTTTCATGAAAGCTCAGTTCTTTATCTGGATTCTTAACTGCCTGGTCTGTGAACCCCAGATATGGCCAGTCAGGACAGTTTTTGATCACCTAAAATTTATCACTTTACTACTCATTGCTAATGTCAACTACTGTCAAAGCAGGGAAGCTTTCACCTTCTTGCCAATCCCTTTCTGTGCTGTGACAATACCTGCTTTACAGTTGGTCAGTTAACTCAATTCTTACACAGGTCCCACTTCATTTGTAAATTCACAATAAAAAATCTAAAGAAGTTGGAGGACACTAATTCACTGGTTTAATTTTCCTTTTCACTGACTAGTCAAGACCCAGCCTGAAAGGAGTTGCAGGACAGTCTTCCCAGCCCTAGGCAGCAGAGGCAGGATTAGGTGTCAAAGCAGTTCTCAGTTACACAGGGAGAAGCAAGCCTGAGCTACAGGTGACATTCATCTAAACCCGTAATTCTCAACCTTCCTAAGACTCTGACTCTGTAAAACAGCTCCTGTTATTTTCACCGCTACTTCATAACTATAATTTTGCTACTGTTATGAACTGTAATATAAATATCTGTCTTTTCCAATGGTCTTAGGCCACTCTTGTGATAGGGTCATTTGATCCCCCACTCTAAACTGATATAAATAAATAAAGAGCACTTAAGAAAAAAATGGAATGATATTCTTAATGACCGGGAAACATTGGAAAATAGAAACAAATAGAGATTAGAGAAAATGAAACCTAAAAAATAATATCAATAATTGACTTTTTAAAATGATTAAAAATAATTGGAAAAACACACGGCTATACTGACTTTGAAACAAAGTAAGTGCTTCCCTGGTACAGAGAATGCCATTAATAAGACATTGTATGATTTTGTCCCCTTTAAATTCTTAGTTGCTGAGCGTGCTTTAAGCTGACAAAGATTTACAGCCAATGGTCTATATGCTTCAAACCTCTGAGCTGACTTAACTGAGTCAACCAGGATTGCATATATCTGCAATAGAAGAGTTCCATTACTGGAAACTGAATACTTAGTAGCTCAAGCTATCCTCCCTAAACTATACAAACTCATTAATTCTATCTTCATTTACATGGAAGGAATTCATACATGCTGGTGAAGAGTCCAGGAATAAGAAAATAAAAATGTAGATTCCAAAAATAAGAATGTAGAAATAAAGATATAGTTATAAGTCTAGGAGAATAAGAACAGACTATCAGCAGCTTTCTCAGCAGATCAAGGATCATTCATTCACAGTGAGCTATTTTCTCAGATGTTTGGGAAGCGTAGGTCATTTTACAACTGGCTGTTTTATTTACAAGGCCAGAGTGTCTCTCTACAAATTGAGAGCAGTGTCCTGGCCATCCCTGATAATAGACATGAACTAAGTTAACCTTTAGGAGACAGAGATATGTGACCTTTTGGTTAGACACTGTCTCCATCATGAAAAACTGGTGCCCCCATGGGAGAGGCATAAGACTCCAGTTTACACCCGGAGGTACCAGGAGACAGTGGATAAATACAATGGTTTAATTGATGAGCTCTGATAATGGATGTTGTAAAGTATGGCAGTCAGTATCTGAGTTTTACCTTGAAATAATGTGAAAAGCTTTCTGCTATCTCCTAAGTTCTCAGTCTAAGAACCAGTTAACTCTAATTTATTAACCTTCTAGTATTACTAGCAGCCCCTTTTCTGACTAATTGCTAAAGATATCTGTTTTCTCACAATTAGTGACTTTCGTTGTAATCTCCCCTGAAACATATTTTATGGTGGCTGCCTAATTACCCATTGACATTAGCACTCACTCCCCTCTTTAGGGTTTCCGCTGACCAACCCAAGGGTCAGGGCATGGTTGTAAAAATTCTTTTGTTCAGGGATAATGCCTGGTGCCCCTACTATAAAAAGTGGGTTCAGAAACCGGCCTTTTGCCACAGCCTAGCAAACACCATCCCTGGCTGTGTTCTCAGCTAACTGATGAGCTTCTGTGCCCCGCAGTGTTTTATTTTTATTTTTTTATTTTTAAGTTTGCTTCTGGTTTTCCTGGGATCTGGTTTCTGGAATAAAGTTTGCTTCTGGTTTATTAGACTTGGTGGTCTTCTCATCTTTGTTTGACCCCCCGCCCCCCAGACCCAACACTGGGAAATTACACAGTAAGTCACTCACCATGTCCCATCAAGTCCTTCTTTATGATGGGAACATGTGCAGTGTGCTTCAGTCATTGATCTAGCTATTGCTTAATCTTTCCCCCTACACAGTACTGTGTAACACAGTACACAGTTCCTCCAGGTCTAGTCTGAAGGGAGTAGCCCTGCTCCACAAGCAAATCCTTTTCCTGTTACTGCAATGAACAGTCCACTTTGTGACTCACACTGGTAATTTTAGAACTGTGGTGCTGCAGACCTGTAATCCAAGAATTTAGGGTGGTTAGTCAGGGTTCAAGTCCACCTCAATCTACATAGGATATCTTGGCTCAAAACCACTTTTCAAAGACTGGAGATGCAGCTGTTCTAGAATTAATATACCTTTATGGCACATCAGGACTTAATGTTGTTTGTGACTCTGTAAAGGCCCCTGAGCAGCACCTTAGAGGCCATTCTTTGATGGGAGATGAGCTTTTGGCTGGTTGTAAATTAGGGTTGTCTCCTTTGTTATGGGAATATAGTTCAATGGCCAGTTAATCCTGGTAAACAGACACTTGCATTTTATCATTCTAATCTCTAGCAGGCAGGAAGGTTAGCAACTACTTATCTTTGGAGACTTTGGTAGGCAACAGTGCCCTACCTAAATTCTACTTTGTGTGACTCAAAGTAACCTAAGAATTGGTATATCCTTATACCATCAATTCTATTATTATCAGTTCTACTCTTCTACATCACAGTTTAGCAGTGGAGTGCTATCCTCAACAGGAGACACCGTTTTACAAGCTCTACAGAATCAACTCCAGCCAGATCCTAAACGTAAATGCTAAAAGTGGGAACATCTGGAAGATACTAGGGAGACTAGGGTTCTCTGAATTTGGCAAATCTGCCCTCCATAGTGACAATTCAAGGACCACAGGTGCCGGCATTTCACAGTGACGTCCAAAACAAGGATATTTGTAAGCGCAGCCACACGCCCAGTGATCTGCCAGACGCAGCTCAAGGAGTGAAGTTATTCAGAAGCTGCCGCCCTGGCCCAGGGAGTTGCAAGGATTACCAGGCAGGGACAGAAAGGACATGCAGTAACATGCGGAACTCTGTGTCTGCCCGCTGACTCCCACTCAGGCTGGGGAGGCCCCACCACACCGTTTCCCCAGGCTCAGTCTGACACTCATCCCAGTCTGGGGACCGCAGCCCCTTGCTCACCACGGCCGGCCACACCTCCCCGTCTGGGGACCGCAGTCTCTTGTTTACCATGGCGCGGCTGCCAAGTGAGTCCACGGTCTCTTCACAGCAGAACCAACCAGTGCAGCGAGGACGACATTCGACTTCCTCAGCAGAGGCACAGAGCCGAAGCCTGGCCCCGGAAGAACCCTATCTGACAGGCGGGTCCACTCGAGGTTCTGATTGGCTAGTGAGACCTGAGTGACAGAACCGTGGTTCACAGCCCTGGCTTCCTACCTAAACACAGATCTGTCCCAGATTGGCTGGAAATCTGTGCCAAATGACGTAGCAAGGCTCTTGTAAACGTAAACCGATGGACCTATCCAATTTTAAAAGGAAGTGTACACTTTCAGAAGAAGGCTAATCAGACATTGTTGTACAAGAGGAACACAGGGTAGTTCAAGAGCATTATAAACAAAGTTAACACTGAAGGACTGATAACCATACCCACATGTGTGGAAAGAGTTGGGTTCTCAGGATCTGAAGAAACAAACCCCTTCCCAATGGCCCTGTCCCCAGACTTTTACCAGTTGTCGCAAGTATAGTTATGGTTTTTGGGAAGGAGCTCTATTTTTGCTTTATACATCAGGACCTTAGAGAAATCTCCCAAGACATACGTAGGTTGCCAAACTCGGAGAGGTCTAGTTTCTCAAGTATCTTTTAGAAGTTCTGCACTTCCCATTTGACAATTAAGTGTAAGATTCATTTGGAATTATCTGGGTAACACTCCATTACTAAGCTGTGTTGCAGAAGAACAAAATTGGTGGTATGAAGGATTTACCAATGCCTAGGAGATAGAAAATCACACAAAGCAGAATTTAGCTACAGGAAGGCTGACTGTAAAATACCCCAACGATGAGTAGTATGCTAACCAGGCTGTTAGAAATTACTGTGCTAGGATTTAAACGTTTACTTACGTTTTGTATATGTTGTTATTGGTCACACATCTGTGGTAAAAACAGCTAATGGTGTGCTCATCCATGGAGAGAGGATAGAGAGACTGTAAAGATCTCTCTGTAGTAAGCTGGAGCATCATAGTTTTAAGAAAGATTTCTTAGTAGTGTTGTCCTGGATGCTGTACACATCAATTTGATGATGTTTTGTTATGTGTTTGCTGTTTCTTTATATTGACTATCCATTAAAAACCAAAAGCATAGTTATAGTAGCAATGCCATGTTGTTTATAAAGGCTTCCTTGTGTTTTCTGGTTTAAACTGTTTAACAGATTGTACCTAGGAAATATTAATTTATTACATTATGTTTTTAACAGCTTTTATTCAACTATTTTTACTTAATTGTCACCTTACTATGATCAGTGGTACCTGCTTAAAAAGGATGACCATCCCCAGGTTTGGTGACTGTTGATATTCCATCATAGAAGGAGGTATCCTTCCTTCTGCATATACAGCCTCCTTCCCTGATAATTATATGCAATTCAGCCCTAACGACATATGAGTTTGTGGTTTTCAGGAGAAGCTAGAGTGTATAGCCTGGAAAAGACTTGTGAGAAGGTGGATTCTGCATATGGACCTATGAGAAAGCAGTTTTTAAAAATATGAATTTACCTGGAGTGTTATCAGGCTTACCTTCTATGTACACTGGGAAATGTAATGCAATAAAGAGTACATGGGCTTTGAAAGAGAAGAAAGAAGGTGAACTCCACATATGCAGTAATGTGCGAACCACTGCAGTTATGTGGAGACATTTCCTGTGTGGCTGCTTTTGAGTATCTGTCTTAGAGTTTCTTATTGTGAAAAGAAACTATGACTATGGCAACTCTTACAAAGGAGAACATTTCACTGGGTCTCACATGAAGTTTCAGAGGGTTTATTTCATTGAAATTGTAGGGGGAAGCATGCTGATTTGCAGGCAGACATGGTGCTAGAGAAAAAGTTGAGAGGTCTACAATTCAGATCAGAAGGCAGAAGACAAGGACTGTGACACTCTTCCTCCAATAAGGCCACACCTACTCCAACAAAGCCACTCCTTCTAATAGTGCCACTGCCAATGGGATAATGGGGGCTCCTGTAAATGGAGCCTGCCTTTGCTTTCCCAGTCACCCAGACCTAAATAATCACACAAAAATTATATTAATTACAACATTGTTTGGCCAATGGCTCAGGCATATTCCTAGCTAGTTCTTATATTAACCCATTTCTATTATTTTATATTTTACGATGAGGCTCGTGGTTTGTTTCCTCACATCTTGTTTCTTTTTTATTATTTATTCATTTATTTATAAAAATTTCCACTTCCTCCCCTCCTCCCAATACCCTCCCATTCCCCAACTCCCTCTCCTCCTCCCTCTCCAGTCCTAAGAGCAGTCAGGGTTTCCTGCCCTGTGGGAAGTTCAAGTTCCTCTTTCCTCCCTCCAGGCCTAGGAAGGTGAGCATCCAAACAGACTAGGATCCCAAAAAGCCAGTACATGCAGACGAAACATGACCCAGTGCCATTGTCAATGGCTTCTCAGTCAGCCCCCATGTCAGCCACATTCAGAGAATCCGGTTTGATCACATGCTCGTTCAGTCCCAGTCCAGCTGGCCTTGGTGAGCTCTCATTAGATCAGTCCTCTTGTATCAGTGGGTGAACGCACCCCTCTCGGTTCTGACTTCCTTTTTCATGTTCTCCCTCCTTCTGCTCCTCATTTGGACCTTGGGGGCTCAGTCCAGTGCTCCAATGTGGGTCTCCGTCTCTATCTCCATCCATTGTTGGATGAAGGTTTCCTCTGATCCTGCCTTCCTTGCTCACGTTCTCCCTCCATCTGCTTCTCATTTGGACTCTCATTGGGAGTTAAGTCCAGTGTTCCAGTGTGTCTCTGTCTCTATCTCCATCCATCGTCAGATGAAGGTTCTATGTTGATATGCAAAATATTCATCAGTATGGTTATGGGTCAAGGCCAGTTCAGGCACCCTCTCCTCTGCTGTCCAGGGAACAATCTGGGAACCTCTCCTTGGGCCTGGAAACCCCTCCAGAATCAAGTCTCTTGCAAACCCTAAAATGGCTTCCTTAGTTGAGATATATACCTCCCTGCTCCCATATCCATCCTTCCTCCCTCCCCCCATCCCATTCTCCCAAGCCATCCCCAATCCTCCCCCTCTCCCTTCTCTCTAATCATCTCCCCTTACTTCCACCCTCCTCCCCCACCCCGTGCACCCAAGGTTGCCTGGCAATCTTGTCTACTTCCAATATCCAGGAGGAAAACTATATGATTTTCTTCAGGTTCACCTTCTTATTTAGCTTCTCTAGGGTCACAAATTATAGGCTCAAAGACCTTTAATTAAGGCTAGAATCCACTTATGAGTGAGTACATACCATATTCCTCTTTTTGTGTCTGGGTTACCTCACTCAGTAAAGCGTTTTCTATTTCCACCCATTTGCATGAAAATTTCAAGATATCATTGTTTTTTACCTCTGAGTAAAACTCTAATGTGTATATATTCCACACCTTCTTTAACCATTCTTCTATTGAGGGGCACCTAGGTTGTTTCCAGGTTCTGGCTATTACAAATAGTGCAGCTATGAACATAATTGAACAAATGCTTTTGTAGTATGACAGGGCCTCTCTTGGGTACATTCCCAAGAGTGGAATTGCTGGGTCCTGAGGGAGGTTGACTCCCAGTTTCCTGAGAAACCGCCACACTGATTTCCACAGTGGCGGCACAAGTTTGAATTCCCACCAACAATAGATGAGTGTCCCCCTCACTCCACATCCTTTCCAGCATAGGCTATCATTGGTGTTTTCGAGTTTAGCTATTCTGACAGGTGTAAGATGGTATCTCAAAGTTGTTTTGATTTGCATTTCCCTGATCGCTAAGGAGGTTGAGCATGACCTTAAGTGTCTTCTGGCCATTCGAAGTTCATCTGTTGTGAATTCTCTGTTCAGTTCAGTACCCCATTTTTTAATTGGGTTAATTAGTTTTAGTGTCTAGTTTCTTGAATTCTTTGTATATTTTGGAGATCAGACCTTTGTCTGATGAGGGGTTTGTGAAGATCTTCTCCCAGTCCGGAGGTAGCCTTTTTGTCTTACTGACAGTGTCCTTTGCTTTACAGAAGCTTCTCAGTTTCAGGAGGTCCCATTTATTCATTGATTCTCTTATTGTCTGTGCTACTGGGGGTCTACTTAGGAAGTGGTCTCCTGTCTCTATGTCTTCTAGACTACTTCCCACTTTCTCTTCTATCAGGTTCAAAGTGGTCAGATTAGTGTTGATGTCTTTAATCCATTTGGACTTGAGTTTTGTGCATGGTGATAGATAAGGATCTACTTTCATTTTTCTACAGGTTGACATCCAGTTATATCAGCACCATTTGTTAAAGATGCTTTCCTTCTTCCATTATATACCTTTAGCTCCCTTGTCGAAAATCAGGTGTTCATAGGTTTGTGGGTTAATATCTGCGTCTTCTATTCGATTCCATAGGTCAACTTCTCTGTTCTTATGCCAATACCAAGCTGTTTTCAATACTGTAGCTCTGTAATAGAGTTTGAAGTCAGGATGGTAATGCCTCCAGAAGTTCCTTTATTGTATAAGATTGTTTTGGCTATCCTGGGTTTTTTGTTTTGCCATATAAAGTTGATTATTGTTCTCTCAAGGTCTATGAAGAAGTTTGATGGGATTTTGATGCATTAAATCTATAGATTGCTTTTGGTAGAATTGCCATTTTTACTATGTTGATCCTCCCAATCCAAGAGCAAGGGAGATCTTTCCATTTTCTGGTATCTTCCTCAATTTCTTCCTTCAAAGACTTAAAGTTCTTGTCAAGTAGGTCTTTCACTTCCTTGGTTAGAGTTACCCCAAGATATTTTATGCTATTTGTGGCTATCGTGAAAGGTGATGTTTCTCTGATGTCCCTCTCTGCTTCTTTATCCTTTGTGTATAGGAGGGCAACCGATTTTTTGGAGTTGATATTGTATCCTGCCACATTAGTAAATGTGTTTATCAGATGTAGGAGTTCTTTGGTAGAGCTTTTGGGGTCGCTTATGTACAGTATCATATCATCTGCAAATAACGAAAGTTTAACTTCATCCTTTCCAGTTCGAATCCCCTTGATCCCCTTATGTTGTCTTATTGCTATTGCTAGAACTTCAAGCACTATATTGAAGAGGTATGGAGAGAGTGGAAATCCTTGCCGTGTTCCTGATTTTGGTGGAATGGCTT